AACATGATAAAAGGATTGGTAATTCGTTTTAAGGATTTGTCTATTGCGCTTGCTTTTGATAAGTGAAAGCAGTTCCGCTATTTGTTCTAAGGCTTTGGGACTGTAGTCTTGCCCCTCGTCCAATTGGTGCGCAAGTTGCTCGACTTCCTGAAAGACCTTAGTATAGGCGGCACCTCTTTTCAGAGGGCTAGCGTCAGCCGGAGTTGCGTGAACCTGCGGCTTCGCCACTAAGTGATTGTCTGAGTCCTTAGCGGAGCTACCCCCCTGATCGGGCGCATGTCTGTGATAAATCAGGGACAATGCACGTTCCCACTTGGCACGATCAGCAAAGGGCTTGTGAAAATGTCTGCGACCTGTTCCTTAGTATCAACGTTAATCATATTGAATAGACCTCGCTCAAACTGCTGCTTCAACCAGGCAAAACTTATCCTCTGCGTTTTGTCCGTATGGCGAAGTTTCTCACTGTCGCCTTTCAGCAGGATAGTTATCGTAGCCTGATTATCCTCCAACAGTTGAACCTTGAATTTGGGACTAAGATGAACGTTGAGGGAATTAAGGTTGGCCACAGACCTTCCATTTGCAGCTCCACCGTAGCGGATCTCATCCAACTCAGGATCGAACTTTGTTAGGATGGGAATCGGCTCCTGCGGGTTACGAGGCTGAGGCGTTGGCTTGCACACAATCTCCCCCCACAGAAAACACCAGAGAGACAAGCTTGGAAGTCCTTGAGCTCTTATACCTTGATTGGCGGAGATTACTTCACTTTCCGTGCTTGACATCGTTATGCTGGTTTGTTTCTTGGAGAAAGCAGTTAAGGGGTAATACGTATTGGGGCCTACGAGAAAGAGCGCACAACCGGACGTACTCTTGCTGTCGTATTCCCCAGCCCAGTCTGCATCACAAAACAGCCAGAGCTTGCAGTCCCCTATCTTATCCCCAATAAGACCTTGCATTTTAACATGAAGACTTGAAGCAATGTAAGAAACCACATGATGTAAAGCCACGTCGCAATCGCGCGACCACTTCGTGACCCTTGAAGCTAACCCCTGAGTTGCACGAAGAAGGTCCCATCGGGCCATCCGGGCTGCAAATAGGATCTTCATTAATACTTTGCTAGCTATTGGCTGCAGCTGCCCTTGTGGCTCATCCTCCGTTGCCGGCTTGGCAATACGGTTTTCGTGAAAAGGAGTAGCCACGTGCTTCAGGGTACTTCGCTGCACTCCAGCTAGCTCACAGTATCGGTCAACACAGGAGGAAAGAAAGTCACGCATGTCATATGTCATGATGTTGACAGGCTTGGTCATCGCAGGAATCACCTCGGGCTCAATGGTCGAGGGGTCTTTAAACCTTTCCTGCTTGGCTTCACGTTTAGCTTCAGTTTTACTTCTAGCGCCTTTACCTCTCTTCTTAGCTGCAGCTGCTGCCACGGACTGAGCGAAGTCAGGGTTTTCGACCAGAGGGAAGTACGTACTACCTACCCACCATTCTTTTCTCTTGGCACCTATGTTTTCGTGAACCACATCTTCGATTTGCTCACCTGAATCAAGAACTGTAATCCTGTCGGAGCCAATGTTTGGGAAGTTCTTTGAGTCTTCCATGGTTGGAACATAGAGTCGTTTGCGGGGGTACACGGTCCTAGACGGCTCGGCCGCTAGGCCGGCTGCTGCATTAGTCTTCTTATCAAACACATACGCAAACGGACGGTCATCTCTGGACAGCATGACCTGTCGTTGCTCATGATGATTGCATCCAAAGTACCTCCCAAAGAGCTCTGCAGGGTCCATGTCGATTACGCTATTTATGGTTTCCCAGCCCTTGTCCAGATTACCCTCAGGCCCAGCCATCTTAAAGTCATCCACGTAAATGACGAGAAGAAGATCCAACTCAGCATGATAGAACACAGATTGCCATATCTCTGGTAACACGGCAGTCCACCCAACCTTTTCAAGTTCCTGCTGACAGTGTCTTTCCCAAAGTCCTCCGGAATCTGGGTGGCCATACAAAGCGAGCCTCAGTGGACAAACTGGGTCGTTCATGCCCTCCCATTCCTTAGGCCATCGGTTGCGTGGGAGACGAACCCACGTCTCAACACCGTCAAACAAGGCCTGGGTGTATGCTTGCTTTGCGTCCCCTTGCTGTTTGGAATATCCTGGCTGGCTCCCAAACACATCTATAATTTTACCAGCTTCCATAGATGCGGGACTGGAACCTAGCTCGGAGAAAATAGCGTGATCGTTGTTCTCGTCGGAAACCCTATTGCCCTGAAACACGCTACGTCCCTTCCACTTCTTGTTTGGATCTCCATCAGGAAGTTCGGATCCCTTTTGGGAGCATATTTCGAAGATTCTTCCGAAGTGAGCCTTGGTGCCTTGGGCCTGGTGTTCTCGGACACGTCCTTATATTCTCTAGCCTTCTTAGTCAACCAACACGCTTTGTCGACTAATTTCTTCCACTCTTTGTCCATTGCAGCTTTAGCGTCAGGTGTTCTTTCAACCTCAGTCTGCGAGACAAGTCTAGCCACCAACGCGAGCTGCTGCTCGGCAACCTCGGCTAGCTTATCCCAAAACAATAATGCAATTCTTTCGCGGTGCTCTTGATTGAGCTCCCCATGGACGACAGGCACGGCGGGTGCCTCTGCTTCCCGTCCCTTACGCAAACGTTCTTCTTCTAGCTCGACCTTCCGCTGATAGCGGGCGATATCCTCTTCCCTTTGCTTAGCAGAATACATGTGCCAAAACTCTGAAGGGGTATCAGGAGGTCGCTTAGAACCCTTCTTGTTTCTGACAAGACGCACACCATCCCAATTGTAACCTGGTGGCACTGGCTTTCCACTGGGCAAGGTGTTTGGGTCATGTAAAGTGCTAGATGGTTTGCTAGGATTGGGTTTCTTAGATCCCTCGGCACTTCCCTTAGGAAGGCTCATAGGGTCCTCCGGCTTTGGAGGCTCTCCCCCTGATCGTCGACGTCCTTGGGTCTCTCCATCATTTCCCTGATTTCATCAAAGAGCTCGGACCCCTTTAGATGACTGTCATAGTTGCAAATGTCCTGCCGCAATTCTTGCGCAAAACAATTTTGATCATCCAATGTAGGGATATGAGCAGCATCCCTCGATGAAACCTCTTGGGGTAACATAGGAAAAGTGAACTCCCCGTGGGGCAGTTCCATTCGCTTCACTCGAATCACCTTGAACACACCGTTCTCAATTGCGTCCTTGCAACCTTCAATTGGAGTGACAAGGTATTCCCTTTTGAAAATGAAACCGGGCCGAACATGATATCCCAGGAAAATGCCTTCCTGGCCCGTAGGGGCAAATTTAGAAGAACCCGTAACATTCTGCTTTGGGTTATTCCAAAACAATACCCGAGCACCGAAAGGAACGTGCATGCCTGGGAACTCTTCCCCAAACCTGCCTTCCCATGGGATAGCACCTGTATCAACCCTTGGCGATGTGTTGAGGGCCATTGCATGGTGTTGTGCTGCCAGTGGCCACATACTATCTGGCAGCCCACTTTGTACCAAATTGGCGCGAGTTCCTTCCAGAATGGTACGTATTTCGCGTTCTATAACTGCTTTGTTTTCATCAACATACTCACGACTGGTGTTACGCCTTATCCCCATACGGTGAACAGCATCTTTGAGTTCTGGGGCATTGTCGGAGTAGATGATACCGATCTCGTCATTCACTCCTACGAAACGCAGAAGGTCATCATAAACTTGATCTGCTTCTTTTGTTGGTGAAGGATACACATACCGGAATTTGGTGCACACATCTTTGACCACAAGACCAACCCTTTGATCATCAAACCCATGATCGCGAAGATCTCGAGTAATCGAATGATCAACCGTTAAATGTGACCCGTATGACTTTGACTCTATGCTGGAAGAGCCACCAACTTTCCGCGCCTGCGGGGCATACATCTTGGCACGCTGGCAGATTGGACAGAAAGGGTTCTTAGGTCGATGGGTCATGAGGTGTTTTCGACTACGCGCTTCTTCCCTCAGTCTTTGCTCATTAGTTTGGGGTTCCCTTTCAGGCTCAGCATCAGAGTCTTCCTTAGGGTTAGGAACTTTAGGATCACGCTCGAAGCACGTAATGGTGACTGGGACTCTTTCTGGCAACTTTGCCGCAATGGAGTCAAGCTTTTCCAGGTCAACCTTATCTTCGAGCTTAATCCACGCTTCCCCATTGAAGGCAAAGGTGGTACGCAAGCTTTTAGAGGGACATTTGGCGTTCGGGGCGCGAAACACTTTTGGCCAGTGTGCAACAATGGTACTAGCGAATTCGGGTTGCTTAACCCAGCCTGAGCGCATAAGGTGCTTACGATTTATGGCGATTGGCGGTTCAGCTTTGATTGCAGCCTCTATCTCTGGATCGGAGTGAGGAATGCGCTCCTCCTCCTCAGCTTCATCGTCTGATGCTGGCACGGCCGTCCCGCTAGGGAGGCTCAGCCCTGAAAACCCTGATGGGTCTCTTCTGAGCACATCACTTGGTGTCCGGCAGCTTTCGTACCTGCATCGTCCGGAGCTGCTGAGGCCCATGCGTCCAAGTCGCCAATGACAGGCACACGCCCCTTCATACGACATCTTAGCTTTCTGCCGTCTGGAGTAATGAAGTACGGAGCGCTACCCGCATGCCAATGAAAGTCGAAACCTTCTTCCATACACCTTCTCCCCACTGAACATACTGGAGGGGTGCTTTCAAGCAAGTAAAATTCAAGATCCTTGCCAAGCTCTGGGATAGGTAAGGTGACGGACATGTTACCCTGCACGGGACCGTTAGCAGTTATCAAGTTGCGTCTTTAACTGGAACGGAGGAGTAATACATTGCATGATCACTCTGCTGATCAAATCTTCCTCGCTGCCAGTGTCGGCCAGAAATTCTAGACCACTGGTACTAGGACAGGCAGTTTTGATGTTTGCCTCGCAAAATTGACAAGTCAAACTATCATCGTCGTCGCAGCAATACTTGCATTGACTTTCGATTCCGGCCTGACATGCGTTCATACCCCCTCCAATGTCTTGGCATTTTGGATTGCAAATTTGGAGTCACGCTTGTCAGCCTTCGGGCCAAACTCCGAATCGGAATAGCAAACTGCGAACGTTCTTGGTTTGGTAGTGCGCTTTCTGCCTAGACCGCTACAAGTAGCTTCTACTTCGATAACCTGAGGCTTTGCCTTGAAAGTGACCTTTGCAGTGCACTCATCTTTGATGTAGAAGATGGTCTTTCCTATCCAAGGCACGGTGGTGTCATCGACCTGGGTCGAGTCCCTCCAGCTCCATTCAATCACCGAAGTGAAAGGACTAACCGGATGAACCTTTTCAACCCTGGCCGAATCCTTTAGCCTCTGAATTGAGATTGGGCAATCGTTCTTTGGGTGAAACAATCCCTTGCGATAGCTTTTATGGTGCCTGATTGCTCGTTTGCGCTTGAAGTCAATTTCCCAATAATCTTCTTCGCTCTCGGCTGCGGCCGCGGCAACACCCGTTAGGGTGGCTACATGCTGCCGGCTTATCCTTATTGGGGGAACGCCCTCGGCTCCTTGGCCTTCGCCTTGCTGGCGACGGAGACCTGGGCTTCTCATCCTTTGCCGCTGCCGCCGTTTCCGGAGCTGCTGGAGAATCGGGCTTTCTACCGGGGGACTGTGGTTTGTCGTGATGTAAGAATCTGCACTTGTCACCCTGGTTGCATTTACCCTTTTTCCAAAAAGTGCATGTAGCATTGATTTTCTTGGGGGAACCCTTTGGGGGCCTTGACTTCGCTTTGTGCAAAAATCGGCACGCATCTCCCCTTGTGCATCTTCCGCGCTGGAAATCCCGGCACACCTGTTTTGGACTAGGGGATCTACTTCTGGAACCCTTGGATCCACCGGAAGATCTGCCTGATGACCTACTCGGGCTTCTAGAGGGACTTCGGGATCTTTGAGCGCTACCGGTTCTTGGTCTTTGGGGCCTTGACGGAGTCCTGTGCGCACGACTATCGGAACCTGCAGGCGCCCCGTACTTATCCCCATGTGACTTTGCGATCCTGTCACGGTTCTTTCGGATACGCTCTCTTGCAAGTAAGTCCCGGATTGACTGAACCAGAAACTCATATGAGTGCTCAGATGTACCCTCTTTTGCTCTTTCATACTTGTCAAGATCAAACTTTAGCCTTTGCGACTTTCTGATCTGCCTCAACAAGATGTCCCGAAGTGTAGTCTCATCTGGCATGTGACTCATCCCGGCGATCACTGAATCCCAATTGTGAATGGTTGTCCCCAAGTCGTCCTGGATAAGTGAAACCTTTAGAAGGTCTTCCACGCTGTATAGTGAACCAACTTCCTCATTCGTCTTGAAATGCTGGTTAAACATAAACAATACCTGACGCCCCCTGACCGCACGAAGGTTAGCCGCTTCAGCTTCCTTGAAGTTGAGAATTTGTCTTGCTAGCTCACCCTTCGCTACTTTAGTCAGCGCAGCCAGGAGTTTGGTATCCAATGTGAGGAATTTGCCTGGGTCACGCAACTTGTCGTGTGTAATATCCTTATTATATGTTTCCAGGAGCCATAGGAATGCTTCATCAGGCTGGTCACTCGCAGCCCTTACCGCCTCACGTGTGGCAGCTTTCCACGAACGGTAAGTCTCTGGATTCGGGAAATCGGGGAGCTTGATGCTTTCAGCTTCCTTAACCTTAGGCTTATCATCTTCGGGCTTTCCCTTGAGGAAACCGGATTTGAGCAAGTCAAGTGCGCTAAGGGTTTCCAAGTTAGCCTTGTTAGACTGTTCAGGGTTGACAATGGGAAGCGGCTGACCCGTTCGGGTTGCTGGTTGCTGTCGCCCAATGTCGCCTGTTATGTTGCTAACTGGTGTTGTCATACCTGAAGCATGCACGCTTGTAGGAGCGGTGGCAATATTCGCGAAGAGGCCTCGGAAGCTTTCTGGGATTACCGTAGGGTCTGGCATTTGAGGACCCGACGGGGCTACAGGAGGGACTACATGCGAGGCTGGAACACTGCCCGTTGGGGCTTCGGCGTTACCTTTCGGTAAGCTTTTAATGTCCTCGTCCTCGTACTCTCGCAGCCGAATTTCGGCCGTCATGAGCTCGTCCTGCAGGAGGTCGTTTTGATCCTGCATCTGCTTTTCCTGTAGTGCAAAGTCCGCTTTCAGCTTCTGTTGGCTTTCCTCGAATTCAGTCTTGAGAAACTGAAGAGTAGCTTCGCGATTCGCCATGTACTCTGAATTTAAGGTAGAATGCAATTGGGCCATAGAGACCTCTAGGTTCTGAACCTTTTGATTACTTTGCGCAATTTGCTGCTTAGCAGTTGACTCAAGATTCATCATCTTTTGTTTTTCTTGCGCAATTTTCTCCTGCGTAGATACTTCAAGCTTTTGGACTTGATGTTTGCTTTGTGCAAGTTCTTCCTGGGCTGAGACCAATTGGGATCGCAACAAATTATCATTAGCTTCCATACGGAACTCTGCTGCAGTGACTTGGGCCTCGAGCACTGTTCTGTTGTTATGGATCGCTTGTTCCGCTTTTGCTTCAGTGTCTAAAACCCTTCGTTCCGCAATGCTTTTGAATTGTTCCATGGCCTCAAAGTGGCGGCGATCTGCCTCCTGCATAACTTCTCTTACTGCTTGTTCTCTTCCAGATGCATCCTCGACGGTGAACAACATCATGTTCATAGTGTTGAACTGATTGTACTCACTCATGGTAACACTCGTAGTAGGATCATTTCTCATGAAAATGTTTTGTGGTCCGGCATACGGATTTCCACTCCCTACTGCAAAGCTTGAGATACCAGGGGGATTAGCTACTGCCGCATTCATTACCGCTGGTACGGTGCCTGAAAGCTCGGCTGGGCCGCCAGGCCCGCTTGTAGCTCCCGCTGGGATCATGGCTGTATCCATCGAAGATATGGACGTGGTCGCAACTTCTGTTGGAACCGGCGTTGGTGTTAGTATGCCGTCGGACATACACTTTCCAGAGAAGTATGCAGCTCGTATCGCACGGAGCGATACGGCTGATAACCTATAGATTACAGGAATCACAAGCACTGATTGCAATACCGTTAAGCCATGTAGCAGAGCGCGCGCTAATTCTTTTCTACAGAGGGCTTGGGGAGTACGCGTAGCAGACAACGTCTACCATGCTACAGCAGCAAAACACTACAAAGGGCTGATGTCATTTTACAGAGAATATGGCTTTGGGTATGTTATACTAAGATCCCCATATACCCCATGTTCTATCTACTTAAGAGGGACTGTAACCCCAAACTCCTAAACCCTAAACCCTTAACCCTCAAGCTTCATTCCTTCAATCAGGTCGCGTTCCGTCGTATCCGTTCGGAAAGAAGCCCAGGAAAACCCAGTAAACAAACCTCAAGGCAAAAAAGGTTTCTCACACCAGTGGCTCATATGGAAGCCTGGGCTACATTGGGGGTTTACCGGTTCAGGGCTTGGGGGACATGATTGATATTTGATGGGTTTAGGTTGGGTGACTCCCTCACACTGACGGTTACAGCAATTGGTATTGGGAACTACAATGGCCCTCTTCATAACCCTAAACCCTAGACCCATCCTGCTAGAGTGAATAATCCAAGGCTTAGGACATGACCTCAATAATTTCAGAATCAAATGTCGAACAGACACAAACCTGACGGCCAACAGGGGTTCACGGAAATGGCTGTAAAACGGTGCGGCACTTGAACTTGAGGTTGGCTCAGGGTTCAGAAGTCAGGGTTCCGGTTTTTTGGGGTCTAGGGATAAGGGTTTAGGGTTTAGGGTTTGCAGTGCTGGGCTTCAAGCTGAGGAATTAAGGCTCCAGGGTTACGATGCGAGGTTTAAGCTTCAGGGCCTGGGATTCAGACTTGCTATGTGTGGCATGCTAACCCCCTAAACTTAACGAAATGCGAGGAAAATAGACCCTACATGGTAACCAACCCTAAACCCTAAACCCTAAACTCAAAAACCGGCTGTGCTTCAGACTCTGAAGGCCAATCTCTATTTAGGATTTGAGGTTTAGGGTTCAGAGTCTTTGGTTCAGGGTTTAGGGTTTTAGAGTCCCTGGTTCAGAGCTCAGGGTTTAGGGTTTAGAGCTCATGATTCAGGGTTTAGGGCCCAGGGTTTCGACTTTATGGCTCAGGGTTTAGGATTTATAGGGCTTAGGCTTGAAGCTTTGAAACCTACTGTCTTCCCTAAGGCTTTTCAGGGGCTTAGGGACAAAAAATGGGAGGATGTCGAGATGATTGGTCTCTCTTTTGAGTCCCCATTATAGAGCGACCCCGAGTGTTGAGAATTTACGGTCTAGGATTTGGGGCTTAGGGTTTAGGGTTCAGGATTTAGGGTTTAGGGGTTTAGGGCTTAGTAGTACCTTGACCCCAACAGTAGGTAAAACCATGGCCCAGAACCACCCCAAATGGCCCAACAGTCTAT